TCTTTCCCTGGAAATGACCAGAGAAAAATCTTTACTCTTGCCCACACCTCCACACCCCTTCACTCACACCCCAGATCCATCTGACTTGGTTCATGTATTTCCGATCCCACTAAGATTTTAGGCAAAGGCAAAGCCGGGATTTAAAAGTTCTTTTTTATTTGAAATCTCATCCAGAAACACTGGTTATTAATAAATATAGTTATCAAGAATATATAAAAAATAAAGACAGGTATTGTCTTTGAGGCCCTAACAAAATAGTTCAAGCAAATGTTCAGGAAAATAAAAATGGCACCCCTCCCCCAAACCACAGGAAGTTTTCAAAGCTGATAATAAGAGAGAGCCAACCCCGCATGCAGAATAACTGAGCAAGGCGGGTGGGGCAAGCTACTACAGGGACCCCAAGCTTTTACAATCCCTGGCCCCTAGAACAGCCCAGGAAGGTTTGAAATGAAGTTGGAAGGGAATGAGGGTGAAGGGAACACATGTGCAGGAGTGAGGGTCTTCACTCTGCCCCCGTTTGCATTTCATACAACCACAGACAGATATATGGAGTACTTCAGAGAATTCACTAATAAATCCTTGTTACAAGGAAAACGGCCCCGCTGGCCTGCGCAACCCGACATGTTTAGACAAGATTCATTTAGAAGCGTGCATGCATTCTTTTGACCCACACAGGAGGTGTCATGCCCTGGACTGGAGTTGAGATTCAAAACTTGGGTCCTGATCTCTCCTTCTCTTTCTCTTTCTCCATTGTCTCTAAATAAAACTATGGCGAGGACAGAGACAATCATAATTGCATTTATCTCAAGGAAATATTTACATTCGTTTTGCACAAAAGGCATGGTTGTCTTTTTCCGAGGAGATGAGAACACAGAGCCAGAGAAAGCCAACCCAAAAGTCCCTTGGCAAGTTTTTAACTACACCGACCCCGTCTTTATACAACAAATGCGGTTTTGACAAGAGCATATGGCACTGAGAAATACTGGCGCGGCTTGGGGAAAAGAAGCATGCATGCAAAACACAGGACGTCTCGTCCCAGTCCCCTTCACTACCACCTAGAAATTGCAGTTTGGTTTTGGTCCTTTCCCTTCGGGGATCAAGTAGGATCTGAGATCTGTTAGGTGTGGGAAGCCGAGGGAGCCCGAGGCTGTGGGGGCCCGGTTCGCCCTCCCGCCGGCGGAACACCCAGACTCCCTCTTCCCTCCCGGCCCGGCCCCGCGGCCCCTATCGCCGCTCTCCCCTCATTCTCCGCAGCCAGGCGGGCCCGCTGCTCACTTGAGCAAGTCCTTAGACTCGGCGGACAACCGGGCCATGCTGGCGGTGGAGAGAGCGGACAGGTGCGGCGGCGGTGGCATCTGGCAGATGGTGCAGGAAAAAAAATGGAGGGGCAGGGCAGCCCGGCCCTGTGCTGAAAGCCGCTGCCCAGCTGCAGAGCGGGCGGCGTGGAGGGCGCTTTGAGCAACGAGTGGGGAGGCCGGATGCTGCCGATGGCGGGCAAGGAGGCTGCGGACAGCGGGGACGAGGCGTTGCCCGACGAGAGCGCGCCGCCCAGGATCGGGTGCACCGGGTGCACCGCGTTGGCCGCGTGCGCTGGGTGGCCGGCCGAGTGGCCCACGGTCCCGCAGTGAAAGGCCGAGTGGTGGCCCCCATAGATCTCGCCAACCAACCTCTTCATCTCCTCCAGGGAGCTGGTGAGCATGAGGATGTAGTTTCTGGCTAGCAGGAGAGTGGCGATCTTGGAGAGCTTGCGCACCGAGGGCCCGTGCGCGTAGGGCATGACCTCCCGCAGCCCGTCCATGGCGAGATTCAGGTCGTGCATTCTCTTGCGTTCGCGTCCGTTGATCTTCAGCCGTAACTGCTGTAGGTCCTGCTCCGACAGCTGCTTTTTGATTTTGTACTTGCTGCTTTCTCCTGCGGCCTTGGCGCTGGCCCGCGAGAGGCTTTCCCCGGGCATCTTCTGCACCATATCGCCCTGCGTGGACGAGACCGAGTTGAGACGGCTCTCCTGGTGGTGGTGGTGGCGGTGGTGGTGGTCCCTCAGGTACATCTCATCCATGTCCGGAGAGGAAGCTCTGCTGGAGACAGAGCTCGAGTCAGAATTCATTTTATTACAGGGGATGCAGCCCTACCGGAGGGAGGTTTAGGCGGGAAATTAATGAAAAATCTTGAATTAAAAAAAAAAAGAAGAATCTGCACAGCCCAGCAACCCACTTCTCAGCGGCAAGACGTGAGAAGAAAAGCTGAGACTGCCTTATCCCCGCCTCTCTCCCTCCCCACTCCCTGTCTTTCTGGTTAAGCAGTTTCCTGGACAGCTAGTTGGTGTGTGCTTGAACTAACCTCACGCTGAAAAAGAGGGGCTTTTATAGAGCTGCGGCGGAGAAAAGAGACAAAAGGAGCCCTCCTATCTATCCTGGGCTGGTTAGGATGACGTGCCATCATTCAGGGCGGTGCGCTTTGCTGTCCCATTTAGCAAGGATTCCTATTCATATTCATTGTGGGGCCGCCCTGGGACACCTCTGCTCCGAACCGCTAGGAGCCCCCAGGCACAAAACCCTCTGATTGACACACTCACCGCAGCAGCTCACGCCTCCCTGATTTTTTTTTTTTTAACTTTCTTCCACCCACCCCTCCCTTCCCAATTTCCCTAACCAAATTACACGTAAGGAACGAAGGAAGGGGAAATAAGAGGGCCAGCCAGTTGGTGGAGGCTCCTCTGGGTTTACAGAGAGGAAAAAAAGACATTCTCCTTCCTTCCACTTATGAAACGTAGGCTGCTCTCACGTTTAGGGAAACGTGGGCAAAAAAAAGAAGTCCCGACAGGAAGGTTTGAGGGAAAGAAAAAGGCAGGTTCAACCAGCCGGGCTGGGAGAGGTGCAGTACCACTTTCCCTGGTTGGCTGTCTTAAGTTTTTCTTCAACTCCTCTCTTTTCCTAAACACCGACCTCTGTCGATTTTGTTTCTTGGGCCCTCTGGTGTGGTTTCTATAGACTTGTGCATATTTGGCTATAGGGCTGTCGGTGGCATTATTGTGGGGAAGGAACTTCTTTAAAAAAATCTTACTTAAAAGAATTTCAACTTTGCGCAATTTTCTAATTTCTTAGACCTGGAACTGTGGGGGGGAAATCCTAGGGTTACAAGAAACGCAACTTGGGAGGAAGACAGAAAGAGGAGCCGAGGGGTAGGAGAGAGAGCTGGTGATTGGAGAGGTCCCCAGAGCTCAGTAGAGGTTGTTCCGGCTCAGGCTTCCTGGACCTTGTCGGTAGCGGAAGACAGCCGGGCAGTCCCAGCCCGAAGCTGCGCCGAACAGGCTCTGGCCGCTGCGCTGCGCGGCGGCGGCGCCAGGAGCGTCTGCAGCTCTGCGCTACCCGCTCGCGCGGGTGCGTCCACCAGGCTGCGGCCGCCCTATCCAGCCCGCAAGGAAAGCGGGAGTACAGGATCGATAATAAACCACATTGGCGGTGTGTGTGTGTGTGTTTCGAGACTGAAACGACCTGGAGAGCCCCTTGCGTTTGCGCGCGTGGGCGCTGAAATCCAACGCAGAATCCGTTCTGGAGATGAACGAGGACTGGCATTTGGAGCATTCTGTGCAAGTGCGGAGGTGGGCACGGACCTTCTTCCTCCTTGCTGTCTTTTTGTCAATCAGGACTTGAGCTAAGCTGCCTCAGAGACCGGAAGGCAGACATCCTTGGAAGGGCTAGAGCCCTTGGGCGGAACTCTAGAAGAATCTGGATATTGCCACGCCCAGGGCTTGAAGGAACCGGACCTGAAACTAGGTGGTCACGGTCGGGAGTCAGAGTAGAAGGTCCGAAACGGAATGGGTCTCAGCACTTTGGGAAGTTAGATCCTCTGCTCCACCGAGTCACTGTGAGCTGAGGAAGGGAAGGCCCCACTTCCCATCCACGCAAATCGAGCGGTCAGAAGAGGAATGTATACCCAGGTCCGGAGTTTGCACAGGCGGGAGCTGCGCCTCATTGACAGCTACGCCGACAAAGCGGCTCTGGCACTATCCTCTGCTCCACCGAGTCACTGTGAGCTGAGGAAGGGAAGGCCCCACTTCCCATCCACGCAAATCGAGCGGTCAGAAGAGGAATGTATACCCAGGTCCGGAGTTTGCACAGGCGGGAGCTGCGCCTCATTGACAGCTACGCCGACAAAGCGGCTCTGGCACTACCAGCCGGTGGCGAGACCCAACGCTGAAACTGACGCTGTTGTACATCAAACACTTCTCTGTAAAAGAAAGTGGCCATCAGTCTCTCGTTAAGGCCAGGATGTTAAGGCCCTTGAGCATCGACACAAGCTTCTTTTTTCTTCTGCCTACACTTCCCTGGAAGGAAAGTGTCTGAAAACGAAGAATCTAAGAGATTTTGACTGGAAATGAAAAGATTGGTGTACAAATGCACTCCTAATATCCAAGCAAAAGTCACCAGGCTCGCCCATTTTAGCTAAGATAGTGACATCCCCCGAGCTTTAGAAAAGGTTTCCAGAGCACCTGCAGTCCCAGGTGACAGACAAGGGGCTAGGATAAGCTGCGTAGTCGCAGCGACTTTGCCCTGCGGCTCCTCTGCTGAGCAAGTCCGTGTTGAGGGGCGGGGACCGGGCCCGGAAGCGCTGCACCGGAGCGCTGGCAGCTTCCTTGCCCTGGGGCCAGTGCTCAGGCCCTGTCCCTGTCCTCCTAGGCCACCTTCCTGACCCCTGGGCATCTGCGTCATCGATGCCCTGCCGGAGCTGCGAAGACTGCCCTGAGCTTTGATTTAGGGAAGTAGCAAAGTCTAATTGAAGAAAGGTGGCAAATGAGAGTAGAAAAATCAGCTGCTACAAAGTATTTCACCTTAAAAAAATCCCAATTATTTTTAGTGGACAAAGTGAAAGTAGGAAATATCCTCAAATCAGTCAAGAAGGTGACAGAGAGAGGGGGTGAGTGGGAAGGAGAAGGCAGAGCAGTCCTGGAAATCCGTGGCGACCAACTCACTTGCCCGGTTGGAAAGACAGGGGCCGGATTCTGGAGTCCGAACCCAAAGCCTCTTTTTCTCAACACAACTTTCACACGGAGAGAGCGACATACTGGGACGGCGACCGGTCCATGTACTGCTGCACTAGGCCGAGAAAAGGGGCCCCGGGGCCTTTGTCTAAACAAACCAGGATCCTACCCCACAAGAGCTTCTAGCTCCAGCAACATGTGGGTGCCTGAGATGAGAGAACTGAGGCGCTCAGGCAGAGCCCCCTTGGTCCTAGTCCTGGACGTGGTGCGCCCTGGCTCCCGGCTCGGCCTCTGCTTTTCTGGAGGGTGGCAACGAGTGTGTCTGTGGTGGTTCAGGGTCCAGGGCCTCAGCCTTATAAGCACACTAGTGAGGGCTTTTAGGAGTCCCCAGCCTCTCTGAGAAGGCTAGTTGCCGCATTCTGCGTCTATTGGAGGGGTTAACAAGTAAAAGAGGGTCCGCAACTTTGCTCTCGGTAAAACGGGTCGGTATTCTTCAGGGTCTGAAATTCCGAGGACACGGCAGTGCTGGAGCCGCTGGGCGCCCCCTGCCTAGCCGAATCGCTTTAGACTCCGAGAAGTTACAGCAACCCAGCTCAGCCCCTGGAGATCAGCCCTGAACCCGAGACCGAGCAGGCCTGGCGCTCCAGAGAGCGAACGCACGGAGTTCTCTGACGGCTGTCTCTGCTATCTCCCACCCGGTGCGCTGCAGGAGAGGAGAGTTAGGAAGTCGCGTTCCGCCCAAGCTGCAGCAACCCAAAGCGCCCCAGCCAGAGGCGCTCCTTGACCTTGGCCCTGCCCAGGGGCCCATTCAAAAGGCTCAGACAGGCGAGGTGCCGGAGAGAGTGAACGCGCTGCCGCACTGGGCTGTGCTCTCTGGGGCCACACCCCGCGTCCCCGCCGCGGGGGAGGGAGGCGACGCGGAGGCGGGGGTCGTTCTCTGGCAACAGGTGCGTCCCAAGGCAGACGGGCTGCTTCCCGCCAAGCTCGTCTTGGCTCTGGGAGTTTCTCAGCTTTCCTACTATGCTGGAAAGCAGCGGGGCGGCGCGGGGACCCGGCTGGAAGAGACACCCTGCGGTCCCGCGCGCCCGGGGCGCACAGCCTCAGATCTGGCGGCTCCTGCTCCCGGGGATCGCGCGCTTGAAAGGCCGTTCAAGTCCTCTTGACACCCCCGTTTGTCACCCAGATTACCTGGGGCCATCTCTTACCCGATGCCCACTGCGTGTCGCTCAGTGCCCGACGCCCACCGCTCCGCAGCTCCAGCCACCAAGTCCTCTCCAGCAGCTGCCAGCTCCGCCTGAGGCCGCCGCGATTTTGGCTCAGGAACGAACCCCCACCCCCACCTCCAACCTCCGCAAGAGTCCGGCAGCAAGTGTCGCTGTGACTGACTTGCTTGCAGGGAGACGCCCCGCGAAGGGTAGGTCAATGCGCAACGTCCAGGGTCTCCTCTTGCCCGTCCAGCTGCAAACTTGACCCGAAGAAACTTTGGCTGAGAGCGAGGGGCAGGAGGCCGCTTTGTGGACTTCACTTTCAGTCCAACCCTCCTCCAAAACAAAACGAAAACAATTAAAAAGACGGTGAAAAAGGGGGGAACCTAAGTATTTCTAAGTATGCCCTGTCATGTACAGCCAAGGATTCGCCTAAAACTAGTCGACACATGGAGGAACTTCTCAAAATATACTTTCTTCAGCGACTTAAAACAATAACCTCAGTAACAATAGCAGTGGAAGCTCGGTCATTTGGGTTATTAGATTGACTTAAATAATAATAATAATAGCCAGTACACAAAGAAAAGAGAGAGAGAGAGAGAGAAGAAAAGTTTTAAAACTTAAATACCAACATATATCGCAGCCAAAGCAGGAAGGATTCCTTTTTACAGCCACGCATCTCTCATTTTGGCAATGGAGCATGGCTAGGGGACCGAACTCTGAGACCCTGTCTTCCAAGCTGCCAGAATCCTATTCTGACCATCAAATAGGTGTTACAAGGGGTCGGCAGAGTGACTAAAGCATTTTAGTTTTCTGAATTCCCCCTATTTTAAATAACAGCTTGAAAACTTAACTGGCCTGTCCAGTACTTTCCCTCCTCTTCTATAATTCCGATCTCATCCATGGGAAATTGTAGTCAAT